ACAGAGACTGTCATGAGTTTGCAAGAAAACTCTATTCTAAATATTACTGAAACATGGTTATAGAATACCTTGAAATTTATAATCCAGCCCACTTTTAGTAGAGTCATAGTCATCCACAATCCTGCGGTTCTTGGTGGAGTCTACATCATCAGTAGCCAGTTTCTGTTCATACAAGGAGCTCCTAATTGATTCCCTCTCCTTTTCATTCCTCTCTCTTTCTGCTACTGACTTTAGCAGATTCAAGTCATCAACAAAGGAATAATTTCTGAACTCTGGTTTGTTCTCTGAAAAAAAAAAAATTTAATATGACATAAAATCTCATACCTCTTTGAATGCCATTATGACAATCAGTATAAACTAGGAAGTGTTTTACCTGTGGGAACTATTTTCCTATTCTTGTCTGCCTCAGCTTCAGCAATCTGATATATGCAAACAAACAAACAAAAAAAGGACAAGAGAATAAGTACACTAAAATTTACAATCTCTTATCAATACTAGTAGAAGCCTCAATGACCAGTCTGCATTCTCAGTAAGCAGACTGCCTAAACAAGAACATGCTCAGACTCACAGCACGTTCTTTTCCTCAGTACCACTGCATCCTCTGATCAGAATCAGACATTATGAGAAGCTGTAATAGACTTCCAATCTTAAGACAAGTGCCAATTAAGCTTTTCTTCAACCCAAGCTTTCACTGTATTCTCCCAAGATCTGAACACAAAGGAATTACACACCTATGATCTGATGGAGCTGATGACTTGCCTTTGGGACGATGAAGAATAAAATTCTATATATAATATCTTAAAAAATACTGAAACTCAATTTTGTACCCAAAGCTCACTCATATCTACTTTACTGATAAATCTCCTTATGACTCAGTTATGAAGCCATTAGGACATTCACGGTTCTGGTATCTGAAAGATCTAATTATTATGTTGGTACAAAGACCAGAGAGCATTTTGAATATTTTTCATTTCACTTACCTGTTCCTCCAGAGGTCTTTCTACACTTAATTGTCTGTTGTGTATAGCTTTATCTAGAATAAACACACAAATACACACATATGTTCAATCATATGACGCATATGACTACAATGCAGCACATTTTTTCTTAAATTACATTTTCTTCATAAACATTGTGTGTTGAATATGCTACAAATAAATTCCTGTAAAAAAAAGAAAAAAAAAAGAGAA